ATATGAAAAGAGAAGGGAAATGCTAAATCTAACCAGACACCATTTCGCGCTGGCTGCAACATGACAAAGCTGATTTCTGGGCATTCTTACCCCTCTCTCCACACTATAACAGAAAAACTGCCAATGCTTAAAAACAGATGAAGATAATGTTGGTAACACTGTCAGGGTGGAAAAGTAGGATAAAAGAGGATCTCAAAGGAAAAATTCTTGGTTAATACACTGAATACTTACTTTGTGATTAGATAACTGGTCAGATCTCTGATCAATCAGGAAATAATCCTACTTATTTAATTAATTATTTATTTGTATTTTATAATTGCATTTTTTTCAATATATTCACTAAATAAGGCACTCTCTGTCCTGTTATAGATTTGTAATAGACATATGGTAAACTAGAAGCAATGCTGTCAGAGAAGAGACTGCAGATAGAAAGACATGCTGTAACTTGAAAACAGATGATAGATCACTTACGCAACATGGCAACCCTCACCAGGTCCAGAAATAAAAAAGTTAAAGGGGATTCAAATGACAATCGAAAGAATGTCCTTTTATTTCTTAAAGGAAGCAGGAAAAGTGGCTAAAATAGGACACAAGGGAGAAGAAAAGACATTGCCTTCACATCGGAAACCACAGCAAAGCTCTGTTCAAACGTCATGCTTGGCTTCTGTAAGTCCTCAGTTCTGGCTGAGCTGTGTCCAAGAAGGCAACAATATCCTGCCACAAATATTCTGCCAAAACGTAGGTTCTGAAGAAAGCCCCTGTTTTTTCCCCAAACGCTACTCTAGATGGTAGCAGTGAGCCCGAGGGCTGGAATAGGACCTTCCTGGTTTCTCAAAGCCTCCATTGTGGCTGAAGAACTCAATGACAAGAATTAACTAACCCTAACTCTAACCCAGGTACATGCCTGGGGGATGGGGGCAGAGTTCCTACCCAAAATATCTGTCCAGAGCTCTCTTATTCCAGCCCAAATCCTGGGATAGGAGGCAGAAGGAGTTTGCACATTTCTGTCCTTTAGAAATACCTGGTTCCCCTGGCTTATATAAAATCATCTGTTCTGTTTTCCTCCTACCCTCCTGGATACTCCTGCTGAATCTCCTTTGTACCTTCCTCCCTCATCCAGCTTGGCTCTAGGCCTTTTTCTTCCATCACTGTTAACTCTCTCTAGGAAATCTCATCTACTCCACAGTTTCAATTTGCAGGAAATGTACAAATTTATATGGTATATTAGTCAGGTTCTCCTAAGAAATGGAACTAATAGATACATGCAAAATCTCTTCTAATCGCCCTATGTACTGGTTTCCTAGGGCTGATGTAACAAATTGTCACAAACTAAGTGTCTTAAAATAACAGAAGTGTATTCACTCATAGTTTCCTATGATTTCTTATGTATATATATGTATATGAAGACATTTATTATAAGATATCGACTCACATGATTATGGAGGCTGAGAAATCCCACTATCTGCTGTCTGTAAGCTGGAGACCCAGGAAAGCCAGTGGTATAGTCTGAAGGCCTGAGAACTGCAGAGATTTCAGTCTGGGTCTAAAGACCTGAGAACCATTAGTGCTGACAGCAGGAGATCCGTGTCCCTGCTCAAACAGTTTGGCAGACTGCATTTGCCTTTCCTTTGCCTTTTTGTTCTACTCAAGCCCTCAGTGGACCGGCTGATGCCCACCCACACTGGGAAGGGCCATCGGCTTTACTCAGTCCACCAAGTCAAATGCCCATCTCCTCCAGAAACACCTTCACAGACACACCCAGAAATAACGTTTAACCAGTTATCTGGGCATCTCAGGACCCAATCAAGTTGACATGTAACACTAACCATAGCACATAGTATCTCCATTGTAGACTTCCTCTTGAGCTGCAGACCCACATATTTAACTGTGTACTTGAACTCTTGGATACCTTTAAAACTCCTCAAATTCAACATATCCAAAACTGAACTCCCCATTTCCCTCCAAGCCCTTAACATCCCCTACCTCAGTAAGTGACACCAGCATCCGTCCAGTTCCACAGCCAGGAACGTAGGGCCTATCCTGACACCTCTGTCTCCCTCACGTCCTATATTTAGCCTATTCCAAGTCCTCCATAAATCTTGAATCTGTCTAGTACCATCTATCTTCACTATTATTACTCCAGTCCAGAGACTTAGATTAGTGCAAAAATAATAAAAGCTAATAATTATCGAAGGTTTATTATATACCAGGCAGACACTCTTAAAAACTTTACATAAATTAGCTCTTCTAATAACCCTATGCATTAGTTCCCTGGGGCTGACATAAAATTTACCACAAACTAAATGACTTAAAATAACAGAAATGTATTCTTTCATAGCTTTGAAGGATAGAGGTCTGAAATCAAGGTGTCAGCGGGGCTGAGGTCCCTCCAAAGGCTCTAGGAGAGGATCTTTCCTTGCCTCTTCCATTTTCTGACTTGTGGCACGCCTTGACTTGTGGCCATGCCACTGCAATGTCTGTCCATGTCTCACTGGTCTTTTCCTCTGTGTGTGTGTGTCGTCTTGTCTTCCGTTTCAAATCTCCTTCAGCCTTTTTCTTAGAAAGGTGCTTGTCTTTGGATATAAAGTCCACCCAGATAAACCAGGATGATCTGCTTATTTCAAGATTCTTAATTTAATTACATCTGCATCCACAGGTTCCAGGGATTAGGAAGTGGACCTTTTTGGGAGTCACCATTTAACCCACTAGACTCTACAAAGTAAGCATAGTTATTATTCCCACTGGGCAGAGGAGGCAATTGAGACTCAGAGAGTTTAAGGAACTTGCCCAAGGTCACACAGCTAATAGGTTGTGGGTGAGAGATTCACATTTACTCCCAGAAAAACAATTTCAATGTTTTTCTGAAAGGAGTAACAGTTCAAAAAATTCATCACTTGGATGTCAAATATTGCTTCTTCAATCCATTCATTACTAGACTATTCCATATCATTAGAATACAGGATACATCAGCATTTCCACCTCTATGAATCTAGTCTATGGATAAATTTGTCACATTTCACAAAGCTATTCACTGCTATATCCTTTGCATTAAAAAAATTAATGGAAACAACCTTAATGCCCACCAATAAGAGATGGTTAAATCTATTATGGCACAACTATACAATGGGATATCAGGCAGCCCTTTTAAAATGAGGCATGTCTATAGTTAATAATAATGTGATATATATGTGAAATTTACAAAGAGAGTAGATTTTAAGTGGTGTCAAACACATAAAAAGGGCAAATATGTGAGGTGATGGATAGGTCAATTAGCTTGACTGGATGAATCATTACCCAATGCATATGTATGTCAAAACATCATGTTGTACATCTTAAATATATACAATATTTATCTGTCAATCATACCTCAATCAACCTGGAAAAATTAAAAAAAAATGAGACATGTCTATATGTATTAGTATAGGAGAAGTTAACTTAAGGTGCGGAACAGTGTATATATTAATAAAATGCTACCATTTTCTAAATAACAAAAAGGATACATATATATATATGCACTTACATATTATGAATATATAGAATATTTTGGAAAGATAAGCCAGAAATGAATTATTGTATTTGTCTTTGAGAAAAGAACGATGAGACTGAGTACAGGGATGGAAGGGAGATTTATTTTCCATTGTAAACTCTATAGTTTTGTTTGAATTTATTTTGCCATGTATTTGCACTGAGAGAGAGAGGGAGAATCTCTGAGCTATTTTTCACCTCATTTTCCAACTTGACCTCCTACTGAATCTCATTTTTCACCTGAAAATTCATTGTTTCGCAAACACACTGAATATGTCCATGTGGAGTGTGTGCAATGTGTCTAATGTTCTATCATCCTGGATTCTCGTGTTTTCTACCTATAGGAATCCTGCCTCTCAAAAGCTTTTCTGTGCAACTTCCTGATCTTCAGTGTTGGAACCAACTACTCTTCCCTTGGCACACAGAAACCCCCTATTCATCATGTTTTGAATGATAGTTATGTTTACAAGTTGGTCACTCTCATTAAATTAGTTCCCAAAGGGTAGCATGCATCTTGAACTCTATGTTCCCCAAAGTACCTGGAACAAAGTTTGGCTGAATGCATATCATTAACTGAAAAATATTAAGCAGAAAGTCATCTAGGAAAACCTAAGTTTTCTGTGACGACCAGTTGGAAGGGTGCTAGAGAAAAATATCTAGCCCCAATACAGTAATCCTACTCAGTATTAATATCTAAAGGAGGAAATAAGAGCCTTGAAGCTAAAAATTAAGCCAATACTATATATCAAATAGGGTTATTAAAAGAGAAGTATGTGAAATGAAATAGGAAGCTACACTTCAAATATATTAGTGGTAAGAGAAGAAGAAAAGAAAAGTGACTTCGGTTACAATACAGAAAAGATAGCTCTTAATATTTTTTTTGTTTTTTATTGTTATTATTATTTTTTGGCCAAACAAAGCCTGGTCACAAAATAGGCAAACACTGATTTGATCACGAATTAAGCTACTTCTCTACCTTTGTTGTCTCCTCTGCCCCCGACTTCATATATACTAAAACCTTATAAAAGTCAATACAACTCACTCTATTGCTTAGTAACCACATTCTTTTCGATGCAAAATTTCCAAAATCAGATTACAAAATTACTGTAATATCTTTCTTACTATTTACATTTTGCTGTCATTTAAACCTATTTCCTCTTTTCTTTGGTAATATGGGTGTATAGAGGGTCATATTACTCCATATATTTAACTTTCATATATTCTAAAGTATTTCATGGTAATCAACTTTATACTACTACACTTTCTATAAACAATAAAGCCATTTGTTTTTAATGTGCTTCTAGCATATTGTTTTTAATGTGCTTCTAGCATATTGCTATTCTGCTGTAGTCTCTGCAAATAGGCACATTGATGTCATGCCCAACCCATTTCTGTTGGCTTTATAACATATAAAAAATAAAATAAATATAATAAAATTTATAAAGGGAAATGATTAAAAGTTTACTTCAACTTACTGTTAGTGCTGTGTCATATTCTCCAGCAGCCAAGTATGCTAAGCCCAAGTAGTAAGAAGCTTCTCCTTGCATGTTTTTGTCACTTCCTAAAGTGAAGATGTAGAAATATTACCATGGAATTAAAGAAATCAATTTATTACAACAAACAGAATTCTTTTCAAGATAGTGGAAAATTATTATTTCAAAAAAGTGTACAGGTTTATCAATGATCTCCAAAACCTAGTTGTGCACTGAAAAAAAAGGCTTAGGTAAATGTAATTTTCCTGGACCACAGATTTCAACACAAGGCACAACACCAATATAATTATGAGGGTTTCCCCCTATGTAATCAGCCCAATATTATAATTTTGGCATTCATATAAAATTTTTATACTAGTCCACCATGCAAAGACCTATAGTTGTCCGGCATAACGTAACAGTTATGTGAAACATATGTGAAACAACTGATAAAGGGTAACAACCTTAAATGGTGTACAAACACTCATACTCAACAACATGCACTGACATTCGGCTGAGTTTCTAACAGTGTGGATAATTAGAAAATTAAGAAATTATTATTTTTGAAAGAAACTGTAGATGGCACAAATGGAAAAACATCCCACGCCCATAGATAGGAAGAATCAATACGGTTAAAATGACCACATTGCCCAAAGCAATCTACAGATTCAATGCAATTCCTATCAAAATACCAATGCCATTTTTCACAGAAATAGAAAAAACAATCCTAAAATTCATATGGAGGCAAAAAAGAGCCCAAATAGCCATAACAATACTAAGCAAAAAGAACAAAGTTGGAGGCATCACATTACCTGACAACAAATTATACTACAAGGCTATAGTAACCACAAATCATGGTACTGGTATAAAAATAAACACATAGATCAGTGGAACAGAATAGAGTACCCAGAAATAAAGCCACATACCTACAACCAACTGATCTTTGACAAAGCAGACAAAAACATACACTGGGAAAAGCACACTCTATTCAATAAGTGGTGCTAGGAAAATTGGATAGTCACATGCAGAAGAATGAAACTGGACTCCTATCTCTCACCATTTCAGAAATTAATTCAAAATGGATTAAAGACTTAAATGTAAGACTGAAACTATAAAAACTCTAGAATAAAAGCTAGGAAAAACTTTTAGATTGGCCTAGGCAAAGAATTTATTTCCCAAAAGCAAATGGAATAAAAACAAAATTAAACAAATGGAACTTAATTAAACTACAAATCTCCTGCATAGCAAAAGAAATAATTAACAGTAAATAGACAACCTATGGAATGGGAGAAAATACTCACAAACTATGTATCTGACAAAGGACTAATATCCAAAATCTAGAAGAAACTCAAACAACTCAACAAGAAAAAAAAAAAAACATTAAAAAGTAGGCGAACAACATGAACAAAAATTTCTCAAAAGAAGACATATAAATGGCTAAAAAAACATGAAAAAATGTTCAACATCACTAATCATCAGAGAAATGCAAATTGAAACCACAATGAGATACCATCTTATCCCAGTCGGAATGGCCATTATTAAAAAGTCAAAAACAATAGATGATGGTGCAGATGCAGTGAGAAAAGAATGCTTATACACTGTTTGTGGGAATGTAAATTAGTACAACCTCTGAGGAAAATATAATGGAGAACTAAAAATAGATTTACCCTTTGATCCAGCAATCCCACTACTGAGTACCTTCCCACACGAAAAGAAATCACTATATCAAAAAGATACCTGCACTTGTATGTTTATTGCAGCACTATTCACAATAGCAAAGATACGGAATCAATCTTAAGTGTCCATCAACCAATGATTGGATAAAGAAAATGTGATATACATACACAGACACACATACACATACACACATCACACACACACACATCATGGGACACTACTCATTTAAAAATTGAAATAATATCCTCTGCAGCAACCTGGATGGAACTAGAGACCATTATCCTAAATGAAGTGACTTAGGAATGGAAAATCAAATACCGCCTCTTCTCACTTATAAGTGGGAGCTAAACAATGGATATGCATGACCATGCAGAATAGAATAGTAGACACTGGAAACTTCAAAAGGTGGGAAGGAGGGAGGGTAGTGAGGGATGAAAAGTTGCCTATAGGGCACAATATACAATGTCCAGGTGATGAGTACACTAAAAGCCCAGATTTCACCATTACAAAATATATTTATGTAACAAAACTATACTTTTATGCCCTAAACCTATAAAAATAAAATTAATAAAATCAAAATAACATAATCTCAAAAAAGAAGTTATTATTTTGCTTATGTTCAATTTAAAAGCTTTTGATTAAAGCTTGGGTGAGAATTACCAACAGAGCTTGGTTTCTTGTTAAAAAATCCCATGCATATTTTGAAATCCAGTTTTCTTTGTTAATCACTGGTGATGCTTTTTATCATCTTTTTGCAAGGAAGGTCTTTCTAATTCCTGTTACATTTTACAATTTTTCTTCCAGGAATTACCCAATTCTTTCCAAAAGCAAAATGCATAAAGATATAACAGGTGGCTCAACAAAACGTATATCACACTATTTGATAAATATATAATAAATATATACATTTAGTACATTAAATGTGACATATAAATTTAATATATTTACAATAACAATTAAAGGTTCTTATTTTTAAAAAAGATTACTATCATTTTTCTACTTTTGAAAGATGCTGGCTTCCAATGAATGTCACCTAACTCCTGGGTAATGCAAATGCTGACAGACCCCTCTTTGTTTTAGTCTTTGGGATGTAAGTATCCTTAGATTTCTGAAGCCTGCATTCCAACCATGAAGAATTTCAGCAGGATCAATTTTCCATGCTGCATTCACTCTCACCACTCACTAAATTACCCCCCTAAAGCAGTGGTTCTTTGAAGATTTCAAGAAAACAGGATGGCAAATGCCAGTGACCGTGTTTTTTTCTTCTCTAGCTCTTTCACTGATTGCAGAGAATTATACCCTCAAGATCTCACTTTAGCAGAGTTGATGATGCCAGTGATCCAGACTGGGAAATTTTAACTCTTCTAATTAGCTGGGCCCCAACTTTTTCTCTGCTATAGGTTTATGGGTGCTAGGGATAAGGGTGGGAACAGGGAAGGGAAAGATGGAACAGAAGGCTGTGACAGGAAGTTACTTCTTGGATAATTATAAGTTGACCATGTGTGATTTGTACGTGCTGTATAATTGTGCTAAAGCACTAGCAATTGCCTGGACTGATTCAGTACTATCATTTGCACCTAATTTTATGAGAGGGAAGCTCAAAAAGGAGGAGGATAGAAAGAGAAATCTACCCCTGCTGACGATAGAAAAGGATTTTTGAGATAGCCAAATATTAGTTTTAAAATAGTATTTAAACAGGAGAACTTTTCCTGATTACTAACAGAGACAAAGTTAAGGAAAAGTGAGAGTAGTAAAATAACAGAGAAAAAAATGTCAATAAGAATAGGCATCCTTCCTAACTCATTCTACGAAGCCAATATCACCTTGATACCAAAGCCAGGAAAGGAGACAACAAAAAAAGAAAACTACAGACCAATATCCCTCAGGAATATAGATGCAAAAATCCTCAACAAAATTTTAGCAAATAGAATTCAGCAGCACATCAAAAAAATAATTCACCATG